GTTTGTATTAATGCCACATTTGTAATTGTGACTCTTATAATTAATAAGCCTCTTAGACAGAGTTGCTATTGAGGTCATGTGATAAACATGGTAGGTCACATGACATGTTACTTGATCGAGATATGTAGAATCAGCACATCAGTTTTCTTTAATTTTCCAGGTATAACATTTTTTGTGATAGTAAAAAAAACACTAGGATTAATATCTTTTTGCTATATAACCTAAGAGTAAATCAGTCATATAACATAGAACTATTCATAAAACTGATGGATTTTGAATGAGAAAAGCGAAAAATTGATGTGTTATTTCAACAGAGATAAAACCAATCTTGGTTGTAAAAGATTAACTCCTGCAGGCCCAGTAGTACGATGCACTCAAAAATAGTATTTACATAGTTGTGGTAAAAGACATCTAATTGAAGATAGCATGATAGTGCTCATAAACCAAGTATGCCTGGAGAGATTGGGTATTTTATGACTAGTTTGTGGTCAGAAGTAAAGTGAAGTTAGGATTGGATTTGTTGATCTGCTCTTGTTATCTGATTTCTCTTTCTTTTTATCTAACAGGAAGTACCCTTTGGCTTAATCAGCTAGTCACACTAAATACACTCTGACTAATATGTGATGATTTTACAGTTTTAATGCTAAAAGATCTTAATGAGCTCAGGTGTATATGTTGCGTATTTGTGTATGTTATAGGAGCATGAATGTTATGTAGAAAATTTTGCAATTTTGGAATTTTTTGTCTCTGGTTAGATCAAATAAAAATGGTAAATTTTAAAAAGTTCGGTCAAGGCAAAGCTCTTTTGAAGGATTAGTTAGAAACCATCCTTGATCTTGGCCTACCCTACTGTCAGTTAATCAGCAACGTTTTACTTGTGCTTAATTTCATTTTATTTCATTTTATCAAGATCCAAGAAAGAGGATCATTTAAGTCATTTTGAAAGCCAGAGCCAGGTAAATATAAAAATTATTAGCCAATTTTGAAATTCTAGAAATTGATAATACCTGTTTCTGTTTCCTGCCAGGTTGAAAACAGAATGATGTTCTGTATTATACAAAAGGGGGTAATAACCCAGAATTCAAAGATGAACTTGTCTTCGTGTAAAGATGAACCTTTATTTTCTTTACAAAAATTCTGGTCTATTCACCCTCTTGTATTATACTGTAGTTGTAGGTTATACTGACATTTTTCATTCGACAGAATGTTTTTAAAGTAAGGTAACCTACTGCTTAATTGCAATATGCCTAAAGGTTGCACAACCAAAATATGATTGTGCTATCAAGTTGCACAACCAAAATATGATTGTGCTATCAAGTTGCACAACCAAAATATGATTGTGCTACTAGGAAATGTAACATACATATGGTTCTGTTATTGATAAAATATATCCAATAGAACTTATGATGCATCTCTGTCAATCTTCCTATCAAGTACTCAAGATGATAAATCAATATCTTAGGAAATCCTCCCTGTCAGTGACTATTTTCTGTATAGTACAAATAAAGGAAACTCTGAGTGTTTGAAGATGCATCTTAAACTACAGGGGAATATTTTTCAAAAAATGATCTGTGTTTTGTTGACTGCCAGTCAAGGTAAACAAATTGCCAGCAGAGAGTAGTGATGTGATGCTATCAGAACTAACCTGAATCCATGGTGTTTATACACATAGAGCATTTCAATCCCACGGGCTTCAGAGCCTCCTCTGGAGTTCTCAATTCCTGATTGGTACATTTGTATATCCCATGTGATCATATGAGGATGGTTAAATATATAAAGATCTTGTATTTCTTAGTATTTATTTGATATTACATCTGGACATAGTCCATTTCAACATATCTTCATCAGGAATTGGTCTTACATGGTACATGTGCACTGAGCTGCACAGAATCATAAATTAAACTGAATAACAGTCTAACACGGTCTATCAATAAATCCTTCATTATTTATTTGTACCAGTAATATTTTTCTATGCTTTTTATTTTACCACAATAAGTGGTAACATATTATTGTAGTCTCCAACTTTTTTATGGTGTTCGGTGGTTGGTGTTTGGGGGTGGGTGTCCAGTAACAAATGCAGGTGGTGACATTTAGCATGTTAATGTCTTGTTTGGCTTTGTTCACTCTCTATATTAGAAGTAGATATCTCAGACATCTAAAAATTAATATTCTCATCATCTAGAACTGAAGACTTGTGGTAGATAGAATGAGAGGCAGCATGTAGGCGCTGTAAAATCATCCCATAATTGTCATAAATTCTATCTTCTCATTTTGCGCAAGGAGACAGAATTCCTAGGAGTTCTTAACAATCAGTGAATAATTCACAACTTAATTACTCAATTACTTTAGCAAAATAACATGTAAATGATAACTGATTTTTCTAGAGGTTGACTTGTACTCCTTTATTCTGATACTATAAGGAGACCACATATCAGGGAATCTTTTGGAATAAATTTTGCCTTTCAATATATATTTAAGAAGGTTATAAGTGTTTTCAACTTCAAAGATATAAAACTAAAAATATAATAAAAAATATTGCATGGTTAATAGTTATAATTATTGACTGCACTTTGTCCAATCAAAATCAAGTATTTAGAGTGAAATTCAGTAAAACCTGTAAAGTAGAACATCCCTGTAGGGACATGCCTTTTTAAATGAGACACTTTCCTGTTGCCCATTAGCTTAATATAAAATGAACCTCTATAAGTAGAAAACATCCAAAGTAGAACTCTATTTGGAGGTAATAAAGGTGTTCCACTTTCACATGTTTTACCATATGGGACATTCATCTTGTAAACTATCCTTCATCAATTATCATTATGTCTATTTATTAGCAATAAAGGTCCAGTATAGTATGACCTGACGGGGTGAAAATATTTCAATGAATGAATTTTCCAACCTGTCGCCTCTGATATATGGGACCACTTATCATTCAGGAAATATGGGCCATTGTTTTAGGGAGTTTGTTTGATTTTTTAATTCGTCACTCTGTTTACTGACTCAATTTATGATTTTCTTGTTCTTCATAAGAATATGTTTGGATGAAGGTGAGCCATGAATGATATCAACAAAATCAATAATGTAATAATTAATTTCATTATACAATTAAACATTAATTCAGATAGAAAAAGGCAGAGTGTATATTCTTTACCATGTGAATTAATATGTATGCAGTACAGTAAAACCTGTGTATATCGAACATTTTGACCAAGAAAAAAACGTTCAGTATTGGTGTTCGGCATCGGAGAGAGGGTAATTTATGCAGAAGTCAGTAGAGGATGTGCTGAGGAAGAGTGTTCACTAAACACAGGTGTTCATTAGAGAGAGGTGTTCACTGAGACAGGTTTTACTGTATGTGTATATACTTCATTCTCTATCTGCCATATCATGAGAAAATATTGGGGATGGGGCAGACCTGGTAGACTTAAATTGTGAGAAAATTCTCTAATTACGGAGAATTCATCCATGTGCTTAATCAAATAGCTTTTACATTTACAGTTATTTTAAGGATAGAGAATTAATGTTCCTGCAACGAAGTGTTATCATTGATCCAGATTTGTAAACTTTCTGATCTATAGCAGGCCTTTACCAGAGGGTGGCTCATAGTGATAAACTCACATGGGTAAATGGGTGAGATAAAGCCCCTTAATCCAGTGAGCTAGCATCACAGATGGTTCTTGAAGATTTATTTCTGCTTATGATTGGAGATCTAATCTGTTCTGCTTTATGAGGCTTTTACTGTCTTAAATTACACGGCTTGAAGACAATGCTAAAGTGTAATACAATTAGAAATATGATTTTGTCATTAATTGGATTCATTTTTATTGCAATTGAATTAGTATTTCATTTGTATTGATTTGATGCAGTTATGGTGTTATATTTTCCTTTCTGAGTGAATAATTTTTTAACCTATGGAAAAACCCAAGCATTGAAATAATCTTCCCCACATAATAACCTAACCTATAAAATAAACTAAAGATAAAATATATTTTCAAATTTCTTCATTTTATTCCGAATAAAGAAGCCATGACATGGAATCTAAACAACGAAACAGAAGGTTTGGTAAAATATTTCAAGAATCTTCGTAACTTATGAAACATTATTTTATGTTTCTGTAAATATTAGCCATGTAGCTTTTTGTATTAGCCTTTCTTCAAAGGAGATTTCATTTTCTAGCACAAAAGCACTCTTTGATTGACTAGCTTTGGGTGACATCTATATATGATATATATTTCTATTTCTCACTAACCTTATTTTGAACACCTCTTATATTATTCTCAGAGCATCTATCTGACTTATTTTATCACAAATATTGTTACAAATACTATAAAAAGGTAAATTACATCTGTTTTTATGTCACAACAAGAAGTGGTGACATATTGTTATAGTCTCCAACTATTTTGTAGATAGTGTTTGGTGGTCGGTGTTTGTTGGCTGTAACAAATTCTTACAACTTTCAATTGTACTGACTTCAAATTTTTTCTGCTAACATTATTTATAAACATGATATGAGTTCCAACACATTTCTATTCAATATATGTTACCATGGCATGGCAACAAATAAATGGATTTGTAACCATTTGCAATAATTATCCACGACTGACGACTTACATAATGTAAACATGCTTTAAGGGTGAACTTATTTAACAGTTTGTATTTTAATGACAAACAAAACTAGAAAATCGAGGATTTCAGTCTGATTTATTGATTAATGCTCTGTTTCTTGTAATCAGTGCTTTGATGTTTGTTGAATTAAAGATTATAGTAGGTTTATTAGATGGCATTGCTAATTCATGTTTATAAGAGATAAAACTTCAAATGGGAATTAAATGCCACAGAAAATAGTCCCTTTATTACTTGAATCTCATTCAATTAACAATATGTTTCTTTATTTTTCTGTTTTGTCTTTAAGGTTCAATAAGATAAAATTTAATAAGTAATATTACATTATTAACTTTTCTTAATTAATCATTCATATAAGGATTTTTGTCTTTTTTCAGGTGACAACTGTATGTACCTCACCTGCAAGCTATGACCTGGTAAGTTATATTGTTTAAAGCCTCTTTAAACAGATATACTATTTAAAGCCCCTTGCCTTACCTGCAAGCTATGACCTGGTAAGTTATATTGTTTAAAGCCTCTTAAACAGATACATTGTTTAAAGCCTCTTGCCTTACCTGCAAGTCATGACCTGGTAAGTTATATTGTTTAAAGCCTCTTAAACAGATACATTGTTTAAAGCCTCTTGCCTTACCTGCAAGTCATGACCTGGTAAGTTATATTGTTTAAAGCCTCTTAAATAGATACATTGTTTAAAGCCTCTTGCCTTACCTGCAAGCCATGACCTGGTAAGTTATATTATTTAAAGCCACTTAAACAGATACATTGTTTAAAGCCTCTTGCCCTACCTGCAAGCTATGACCTGGTAAGTTATATTGTTTAAAGCCTCTTAAACAGATACTTTGTTTAAAGCCACTTGCCTTACCTCCAAGCTATGACCTGGTAAGTTATATTGTTTAAAGCCTCTTAAACAGATACATTGTTTAAAGCCTCTTGCCTTACCTGCAAGTCATGACCTGGTAAATTATATTGTTTAAAGCCTCTTAAATAGATACATTGTTTAAAGCCTCTTGCCTTACCTGCAAGCCATGACCTGGTAAGTTATATTATTTAAAGCCACTTAAACAGATACATTGTTTAAAGCCTCTTGCCCTACCTGCAAGCTATGACCTGGTAAGTTATATTGTTTAAAGCCTCTTAAACAGATACATTGTTTAAAGCTTCTTGCTTTACCTACAAGCTATGACCTGGTTGTTACATTGTTTAAAGCCTCTTAAACAGATACATTGGTTAAAGCCTCTTGCCTTACCTGCAAGCTATGACCGGGTAAGTTATATTGTTTAAAGTCTCTTTAAACAGATACATTGGTTAAAGCCTCTTGCCTTACCTGCAAGCCATGGCCTGGTAAGTCATATTGTTTAAAGCCTCTTAAACAGATACATTGTTTAAAGCCTCTTGCCTTACCTGCAAGCCATGACCTGGTAAGTCATATTGTTTAAAGCCTCTTAAACAGATACATTGTTTAAAGCCTCTTGCCTTACCTGCAAGCTATGACCTGGTAAGTTATATTGTTTAAAGCCTCTTAAACAGATATATTGTTTAAAGCCTCTTGCCTTACCTGCAAGCCATGGCCTGGTAAGTCATATTGTATAAAGCCTCTTGAAACAAGTACATTGTTTAAAGCCTCTTTAAACAGATACTTTTAAAGTCTCTTTGAACAGTTACATTGTTTTAAAGCCTTAAAAAAATTGTTAGAATTAGATATCCAACAGTTAACAGTTAAAATATTTAAAGCCTCTTTTAAACAGTTACATTGTTAGCATTAGATATCCGAAGCTCTCTTTTAAGCAAAATCAAATTGTTGGAAAGGGCAAGTTGCCTGGAACTTTGTCAATGAATTATTTATGACAGGAAAGGGTGAAAAGGCCAGAGTTGAGGAAAATGTGCAAAGGCCAAAGTGAGGTGATGCTTGATACCTAAAGCAGTTGTCTGATGTGATGTAAACTATAGAAAAATATATTCAAAACATAATATGAAAATCATTGCTAACAAAGACATTTTACAAGAATAAGGGAAGGATTTCACATGAATGATGAAATTATATTGAAAAAATAATTTCTAATCCTGCACTTAATGCACCCAAATGACCTCATCAGGCCTCAGAATATGAGAACAATATTAGATGAAAAGCTGTGAAAGTATGAAAGATCTGTTCTTATTTTTTATATTAAGATTTATGACATTGGGTTTTATCCTCAATTTGGTGGTTTCAATGGAAATGCCGGCACCTATTTATAGCTAATAGCCTGTAGTGAAAAAGAGGATGAAATGAAAAATAAGTTTTACAAAAAATTTGTAACCTTCCTTTGGTTGTATTTTAACTATTACAATTTTGCTCATACTTGAATAGTATGTTTGGGGATATATAAATAACAAGTTATATAGGTAGGTTAGTATACTGTTATAGCTGATAAACTCATAGGCATATGTATACATATTACATATGACCTTGATATGCCACTAGGCATACATGTATGTATGTTAACTACTCGTTTGAAACTCTGAGTTAAGTGATCAATCAGTTACAAAGAGCTAAATAACAGAGTTAAGATATAAAACAGGCCTAATAGAAATCAGTTATAGAACGGAGATAGGGAAAAGATTCACCCCTGGACGACTGGATTAACCACTTAGCAGGTAATACATAAAACTGGTTATTGTTACTATATCAAGTTTAAATATTTCATATCAAAATGAATATTTGAACAATATTTGATCGCTGTAGTTAATCTATCTTAATATTATATCAATTAATCAAAGAACTAAGAGTATACAATATTCTTGAAATTGTTGCAGAGTAATGTTGATTCTCATATCGATACTCTGGTATTGTTATATGGGGTTGTATCTCAATCTTTTAATTAAGAATTGAAACATTGAAGATAGGGTAATGAAAACCACGTGTAACTGATAAGCATGTTATATGAGATTGCTTGTAAATAACAACAAGTAGGATTGGCTTCCACATTGGGGAACTTTGAGCTCACTTGTTTTGGTCACATGACTTCCTGTTATCTGTTTCTAAATGATTCCACTTGAAAGTTTGTTTTCTCTTGTAATTGGTTGGAATTGTGATATACTTGAAGTCTCCACTGCTTCATACTGTGTCAATGAGAGGAAGTCTTACCCTGGGATTGCCCATTTTTTCACTACCCTCTAACCATTATTGATGATTTCAAGTTGACATTTTAGTGCAGCTAAGACATTGTGCCAAATTATCAACAGTCATAGAAAAGTGAAGTTAATTTCATTGTGGTTTAATTTCCTTACTCCCAGTCACAACTTGAGATGTGTTGATTTATTATTGTTCTCCTGATCACACTTTTATCATGCAGACACAGCATTTATTCTAATCAAACAAAACAAGTTTTGGAGTTGGTGCAATCTGTGCGAGGTTCAGTTTTTACTTGGTTCGGTTTTTCATTAAGGGAAGTACTTCATTCCCATAATTCAAATTGCTTTTCTGCAATCGGTTCGGTTTTAGTTTGTACAACAAAAGTCTACAAATTCTGGACAGGTATATATTACGTCATTGCACTTGTGTTGGGTGTAAACTTTTTCTTTTGACACTAAACAAAAATGTTCCTGAAATATAAGGTGCATTATGGGTAGGGACTGCTGTGAAATAATGTTTTTATTAAGTTATAAATTACGCATGCGTTTTAATAATTTGAACCAATTAAATTGCTAGATTTAATGTGCATGCCCCAAAAACCAAACCAAAAAATGGAACCTCGCACAGATTGCCTCTAGTGAAGTTTTGGAAGCTGATGCATCATCCTTTCTACTAGAGACAGTGTTCACTAGAAAGAGGTGTTCACTAAGAAAGGTTTTACTGTAAATTCTCCGGGAATGAACAAATATATTTTGATTGGATATAGAGGCAAGATCAAAGAGTTATTATCAAAGAATTTGATAAGTAAAGAGTATTTACAAAGTTGAGCTTTTCTAAAGGGCATGTGTTTCTTCGAGGAAATGAAGGATTTCCAAGATGCACTCTCCATAACATTTGTAGCCTTGATGCATATTTGGGAGCTGGAGGGAGCGGGTACAAGCAATATTTGCTGAGGGTATGACAACTGGTAGGGGAGGGGGTAGAATAACTTGTTTTTGGTATACTAAGTATATACAAGTAGTATACAGCTGCTCCCTTGATTAAGATATATCCCTAGTGTAATACCTTTAATCCACCCTGTGGCACAGTGGCCAGTGGTAGTCACTACAAATAAAGCTCTCATCATATTTTTGAAAAGGGTAGTCGAAGAGGAAATGTTTATTAATTCATGTATTCTAACTTGACATGTCAGAAGCTCCTAGTTTACAATGATATATCTGCTAATTACTAATTACTCTCTAATGACATGCAACATGCCTGGAGAATAACTCAGGTGCATTCTCAGAAGTTATGCATATGATCTTTTCATTTTGTTGGTGGATTGTTTAAAGGCTGCTTTAAGTAAATCAATGTGAGAACCATCATTTTTGGGATTATTAGTATGTATTTTTCAATAAAGATGGGTGGGTGGTCAAGCAGTTAACAAATTAGATTTTGTCCAGAAAAACTTTTCAGATGACCCCTTAAGAACAATGGAGGCCTCATACTTACTAATTATGTTTCAAACCTTTTTTTTCTTTCACACTTTGTAACTTAAGTTACTGGACATATTTTATTTTGCATAAAAAGACACTTAAGGGTGATATGAAAATTGAACGACTAAAACAGATGCATATTGAAGTAAAAGGGAACTCTCTCCTCTTTTTGAGTTGATTATATAACATTATATAATACCACAATCCCTTCACTAACATTTATAGGGTAATTCATTATATCGGGTTATTAATTATATCTACTGGGTGAGATTACAGAGCCTTGTTGCAAGACTTATTTTTCTACAGTCAAGTCCTACTTGTAAAGTACATCAAGGGATGGTGTTCAGTTATCAAGTTGTAAAATAATGAAGTTAGTTTCGTTACGGGGAGGGGGTGGTTTCTTGAGCAAATTGTGTTGTTTTTTTATATTTAAGTGAACAACATATAAATATCAACATTTAAAAAAATTGTCAGATGAGGGAGGGGTTTAAACCATGAGAAAATTAACTTAGATTTCTACGAAAGCTGATTATTAGACACCATCCTTAACATCCCTATGTTTTTGGATTGTGATCAATGCATGCTATGTGCCTACACATAGTTATTGTAGTATTTATGTCATATACACATATATGAACATGCAGGGTGATAGCCTGGTATTTTGCCATATTGCCCATGTCCACTTGACATTTGCCCTAAATTATCATATCCCATAATGCAGCACTGTTTGACAGACGGCTATGAAATTACTATTGCTCAGTTGACATCATCTTCTTGATAAAAATCTTGGTGTCTGACAGTATCTGCTTTAATATTTTTAAAGTATGGCATATGTATTAATAAATGTTTTATTGTCACAAATAAGAAACATGAAACAGTTTATGTCAAATTGCTTGGCATTTCTTTTGTCTTGTCGCTGTCTACCACTCGATACTTCCAAATACAATTATACCAATTCATGAATTGCTCGCTTAAAAAATCCAATTCTGATCCCAATATCAATTTATAGGCCCGTTATTTCAATGGAATATTTTGCCGTTCGGTTGAAGATTGAATCAATATGTGGTTCAATACCCCCTGAGAGTCATGTTTAGAAGTGCTAGTGAAATACATTGATTCTGGAGTATGACAATATGTAGCTGTCTTTTGGATTCTTGGAGAACACGTTTGGTAAGTTGAGAAATTAGCATAAAAATTGGTTCTTCTATAGCCATTCATGTCGATGCATACAATTTAAGGTTATAATTTTATTTTTAATAATTCGATAAAAGGTTACCTTTCTCTCTTGGTTTACCGAATTCTTTGAATAGATTAAATAAAATACATTCCCTTTTTCAATGTTCAAACGAATCTATTGTTGTAATTGTGAAGGTATGCGAACACATTGACATTTGCCGTGCAAATTATGCCTTAGGCCAAACAGAACAGATGCAATTGATAAATCACGAAAATGAATCTTTCTAACAATCAATCAAAAAGGCTCCACTCATGCGTAGGAAACAAGATGAAATTAAGGCATTATAACTCAAGACAATCTTATAGTAGATCCATGGGCTTTGGTAGATTCCAGAACCAGACATTGGAAGCCATTCTTCACAAAATATTTTTAAATTGAATGAGGCCCTTCAATGAAAATTGTTATGTTCAAAATCTGCTTGCATTACACATAGTACTATAATATAAGATTTAAATAAATAATATTGAAAATTATGATACAACTATTAATTACCAACCTTAATTTCATATTCTTGATATTTAGAATGAAACTTCCAAAAGCATATTAATGCTATAGATCATGTTGCATGGGTTTTGTTGCATAGATAGGTGATGCTGTATAGATCATGTTGCATAGGTCATACTGCATAGGTTATATCTTTGCCATATTTGATGATAAAGGCCAGTGATTTTGGAAGAGTTTGTGTAAGTTTTTGTAGGTCAAAGTGCTGTCAATTACAGTATGTACTTAGTGTAATGTCAGTTATGTCATAAAACCAGGGTTTTCAGCAGAAAAAGGTTTTACGAGAGAAGAGAGGTGCTCAGTTAAGAAACTATTTGATTAAGAGATGTTCACCAGATGGGATCACCAGAACTTACAAGAGCAAGGTCCTTAAAGAGAGAAATGTAGAACGCATGGTTCAAAATTGAAATTTTTTTTATTTAGCATTACAGTTTATGTTGAGATGACATTTCTTCAGTTTTATCATTTTCTCTGAAAGTTTGGAAATACTTTACAGCAAAAAATGTTAACAAAATTGAAAATAGAAATAATTATAGTGTAAATAATGAATAGAGAGCATAATATAATGTTACCACCACCTTTATTAATATTGCAAATACGGGGAGTGGTTCCTTTTATGCTATGTAGGCCTTGTAGGGGTCTGTTGAGTGTTGTCACAGTTCAGCTTCAATAGTATTGAATTGTCCTGTTTCTAATAAATATTATTCCAATGTCTTACAATTACCATAAATGTGCATATATACCACAATAACGTTCCAGGAGTTAGACACAGTCAATATATTGAAGGAGGGGGTTTAGGATGGTCAACTACAAAACCTGGATTCTAATTTATCATTTTCATCTTAATTTTTCCAATGGATGTCATTATTAGAGGTGTTGCAAGTCAAATATTCTTCGGGTCTGGTTGGGCCAGAAAAAAGTGTGTGGCGCGTCGAGTAATTTGGGGTTGTGTCAGTATAAAACAGAAAAATGAATTTTACTTAGTTGACGAACCATTTAAATTCATATTACATCTTTCAATAACATCATTACTGCAAATTATGCTTTGATAAGGAAAAATGATAGAAACTTAGCATTGACTTGTTCGGGAAGAACCGTTAATAATTTTCAATTCATAATTTATAAGTATACAATAAATAAATACGCCAGGTAGAAGTTTGAAATATAATTTGGACCTACCATCCTCAATTGTAAAAATCATTAAAAACATTTCCTGAAAATCCAGATTTTGTTTTTAGCCATAAGTTCTGAATTCTTGTTCCACAAGTACATTCACTTTCAAGAGCTCTAAGATATGCAATCACTTAGATGTGGTGTTTATATTGTACTTTCTGGCTGATTTCCTGCTGACAAACATATTAAAAAACAATGTGTGAGATTTGCATTGGAAGAGATATTAAATATCACATAGTAGGACATTTCCAATCATAACGATGACATTTTTGAATAACATCTTTGAGTCTATCATTGGAATGAGAAACTAATAGATGTATATAAGGTAGGTTAATACAATTTGAAATTAATTATTATCCAAACCGTATGCTTTACTCACAAATTGTTGTTTTACTGTCCTCATTTAACTCAAATATTGTTTACATTTAAGTCATATTGTTTTACTGTTCTCATTTAACTCAAATATTGTTTACAGTTAAGTCATATTGTTTTACTGTTTTTAACTCAAATATTGTTTACAGTATAATCATATTGTTTTACTGTTTTCAACTCAAATATTGTTTACTTTTCAGTTTACTCATATTGTTTTACTGTTTTCAACTTTCAATATTATTTACTTTCTAGATAACTCAAATATAGTTTTATTGTCAAGAACTCATATTCTTTACTGTTTTCTAACATTGAAAATGTTATATTTGTGTGTTTCAGTCTAGAGCCTCGTTGATGCCCCAGGCCCCAGTAATTAACAGGGCACCAGGGATGGCAGTCAACCAGTAAGTACTCAATGATTTCATAATCAACATTTTGTATCATTTTGTTTGGTCGGGGAGTCAGGAAATTTTGATTTGAAAATGTTGGGGCAAGTATTTTTCTCTTATTTCTTTTGGCTATACAATTTTTATTGTGATATATTATTCTATATAGTGTGACATCAAGGACCCATATATATCTGACATCAAGGAGCTGTATTTTGACATCAAGCAACCCCTAATTCATTATATCAATAAGAGCAATCAAGTAAAGGAATTCAAAATAATTTTGTCAATATCTCTCAAAACTCATTTTGGCTGTATTACAGGTGTAGCAATTGCTATGTCACTCCTACATTGAAAATACTTTGCTGTATTATGGAATTCTCTGTTTATAAACAGGAGTCTATTGAATTTCATTTGGTTAGATAAGAGAAGCAGAATTATTTTAACAGCAAGAGGTTTGGAATTCTTATATATTTTCTGATGAATTTGTTTATTACCCTAAGCTTATTTTCACTACCCTCTGAATAGAATAGATCATGTTTACAAATGGTATTCAGTCAAACAGAGAACACCATACCGTTTGCATTCGTTTGACTTCTCTTCTTAAAAGAGAGCTTCATCTTCGCTCTTTCAGTTTACAATAAATCTCTGATCTCACCGAGCCAATCAGAGTTTGTCGTCAAAATACATTTACAAAATACAATTCTATATGGTCATATCCTATGACATCACTGCATAGGTAATGAGCACATATTTAGCATGCGTTCCTTCCTCTTCGCTGATTGGTTGAGAAAGGGTCAGGATGGTAGATTTGAAATGATTTTTACCTGGGCTGTCACAGGCACCAATCTTTGGGGTGGGGCTGCTAAACTGTAATATAGTCTATACTAGGCAGAGGTTAGTTTATAACTAGACTCTGCGCACAGGGTAAGAACACCATTGGGGCATACGATTACATGTATGATACATTATGCAAAAAGAGGAAGTCCTAGATTTGTGGACTCTTCTTGGAGATTCTCAAATCTTCCATGTCTTTCTCTATAAACATGTCAGATGTCTTTCTTTATGTCTTTCCTAGTCTACATATCTTTCTCTATCCAGATGTCTTTATCTACATGACACCCACATAGATTCACAAAGTTTCAGTTGTCCTAACCTCACATTGGAAGTCGGAGGTGCGTGATGACACGTGGTGAGATAACAGTGTGTTTATTACTGACTGACTGAACTTCTTCATTTGTTAATTTGATCTGGTTTTATGGTAATCTCCTCATCATTGTTATGTCACAATGTCCTGGCATAAGATTCTTTGATGCTACATTTTATGCCATCCAGGAAAGGTCAGGCTGACCTCTAGTGGACCACGACTGAGACAGACTATTTTTTGGATTAATAACTTCCCCAAATATTTGAATAATTGACATCTTGGTTTTGTACTAAGGTATACTTCACTATCAATGTAACTTTACCCTTCAGCAGAGTATATAAAAGGTTAACATGACTTTGGCATCCTTTATTTAGAAGTATGAAATGCCATCAAAGCACTCCATATGATTGTCAATGAAAGGAATATGGAGGATCTAGAGGATGTGGTTTTCGCAAAGCTAACCTTTTGGTTCTACATTCACCGTATTGTCTGTAATTAGCATCCAACCCATAATACGCGCTCACCGCACTTTACAAAGTTCAAGAAATATTTAGGAATGACCAAGTACATGTATTAATGAATATTTCAGAAGAAAATCTAATTTCCAAAAGTGTATGCCCTATCATAAAAGACCGCGTTCAAATAGGAGTGTTTTTCATATCAAAGAGACAAAGGGATAATGCTTTCCAGTGGTATATACTTCATATAGCAAATTAGATATCATCAAATACACACACCAACCAAACACAGGTGGTCGGTCATCTGTGATTTTTCTAATATTAGAAATAAAAATACCGTTCTAAATATAATATTTGATATCATAATTTCTTTCTTCCAGAATTTGTATTCTAAGTCTATGCCACTATCAGCTTTCATCTTGCTTCAACTTCATGCATTTATTGCATCTGAAAACAATTGTGACTGAAATTTATTGGATAAGATGAAATTAGGGAAATATTTAACTAACAATTGACATGGAATTATGGAAATGTCAGGTCCCCTGGGTATATTATGAAATTATTTGGTGAACATTATAGAAATGTTCTGTATAAAATTGTGATAGCTGATATGAGCCACTCCATCTGATACAATTGATTTGAGGAACTGAAATCATTTTCATTTTTCATCCTCCACATATTTTATTCTGAAAACCTAATTATTTGATAGTTGTCATAAAATAAGAATATATCATAATAGACCAAAACTGGATTAATAATATATGAATATGTTACCAATATCAAAAGAAGCTTGTGTGTATTCCATTTGATATTGCAATATAATGAACTGACATACAGATCCAGTTGAGTTTATAGAATTTGTTCATTTTCGTGAAATATTTACTTTAACAGGATGAATTTCTGTGAGATGCAGTTCTGTATTTAACCATGATTTTAACATCCTTCATGTTCCAATTTAGACAACCAGAAAAGGAAAATAACATGTAACATTTTGATCAGGTTTGGATGCTCTGAATGTATTGATTAGACAAACACAGTGGATTATCAAGTGCAGTAATCTTGTCCATTACACCGATTGCTTTCACATTCTTCATTTTATTGGCAGTAATAAATCCTATAAGTCTTAAACATCTTCTTCAGGTTGGTTTGGTTATTTGTATAACATATTTTCTTGCAACTTCTTTACAGCTTTTTATATTTCAACCTTAAAATTATTGAGATTTGTTTATTTACTTTTATGTTAAGGAAAGATGTTTTTACATCTAGCCACACTTTACGGACATTAGACCCTACTTCATGTATATTAGGCCTATTTCAATGACATTGACCCTTCTACCTGGAGATTGAGACTGTGATTGTTATGTCACCACCACAAGTGGTAAAAATATTGTTATCCTACTTTTTGCAGATGGTGTTTGGCAAATCGTGTTCAGTGTTTGGCATTCAGCATCTGTAACAAATGGCAGGTGGTGACAATTTGCATATTAATGCCTCATTCTTTTATAATTTATAATCATTGCAAAAAACATGTAGAGGTGAATGACTTATCATATCAGGTGTTATACTGTTCTGAATCATTCTCTTAACCTTTCCCAAGCTATCTCACATTGCTGCAATGTCTCTGGGTGGTTGGGTGTCTCCAGGTGTATTTAGGTGCATGCAGGTGTACTTTCTACTCACATCACAAAATACAATTCTTTGAGACAAGTTACAAGTAACTACATGTAGAGCTCTAGCTAAGAATTAAGTAATCAGATCTCTATCTCAAACAAGACCTCTTATCCAAATGTAAAATTTTATTTATTCAAAAGCTAAGTTATTTTGCCCATACCCTTTTTTTCCAATTGATGCACTTCGATTTTTCTGCTCTGCCTTTGACACTCTAATAGACTGTGATATACTGTCAGTAGATGACAATACACACCAGAAGTGCTAACATAACATTTGTTCAATCAATAACATTCAGTATGCCATCCAAAAAGTGACATTCTAAAAGGTTTTTGAAAATTACATCAAATTGTTGTTTTGTCCATAAATTGATTTTCTAATTGAATGAGTCTAAAAAATAGGAATCAAGAATATGTTAAAAGCTCATAATGAAATCATTTTTATCTCATTTATTTAGTTAAGTCTATCCATTTTATTGATATTTCTGCCCTCTTTGAACTGTGACATAGAAATGCCAGAGAAGTGTCTAATATGGAAGCTAAGCTGTAAAGACATAATTACATATACCACATCGTTGGACAGTGATAGATGAACATCCAAGAATACAATTTCTTATAAGAATCCATTGAAGTCTCAGAAACCGTACAAGCTGGGTAGTAGAAATGAAGCAGTATTAGCAAAAATTGATAATAAAATGATAAAACCTGTCTAATGTCAGGAGAACTAAGTAAGATTGGTTACATTTTCAGCTGAGTTTAAATATTTTGAGGGTGGTTTAACTTTTGATTCAATTGGAGAATATAAACATTTTACATCAGATTCAAAGTCAGGATGGATAGCTGATTAAATCTTTACCAAGGACTAATAGAAATTGACAAAGTATTCTCGTTAGATTAAACTCTAGAGATTTCCGTGACTGATACAAACATGCTTTACGATTGTTACCAATCAATATTAAACGTCTCAAAGTCAACTGCCGCTAGAGAACAGCAATGCCTCATGGGAATTTTTAACCCTACAATGACAGAAAGAAAATTGCAATTTTTGAGTTTTGGTATTAAGCTCAACGGAAACAGTAATAGCTATATTAATCATAAGCATGTGTACCAATTGGAATATTTATTTCATTGTACTTTATTCTCATTGGCTTAATTTCCCTTAAAGGAAGAGATCAATTTTTCTATATTCTACTTGGTTCTAATTTGACAATTAGTCAAGGTTGAGTATGATGAAGATGTCAAAATACTTGCATATTCTATTTTTGCAAATTATAAACTACTTAGCTGTGTGACCCCCAGCTCCTTCTGTCAGAGACTAAATAAACTTGTTTTTCTCAATTTTTCTCATTTTATTTTAAAAATGTGAACCCCTCATGGAATTTTTGAAAAGTGAACCCCCTTAGCAACGAAATGGGGGTGTCATGCTTTATGCTTATTAAGCTGGCTATGGGTTGTCCTCTCAGTTAACAAAATTAACTTTGTTTAGCCACAAGTGTTGACAACGTAGACTCCACCTTTTACATCTTCACATGTCCTATAAGTCACAGTGATTACTTCAGAATTGGATAATTAGAGCATGTAATTAATACATGTAGGTATTCACTGACATGTTTATAGCTATAGGTACAAGCTACAGGTGAGAGGGACAGCTTGAGAAAATGAACTTTCCAATACTGGTCAACTGGAATAGGTTAAGTTTTCTTTGAAGAGTTAAATAACAGTTTAATTAATAAGCCAAAAAGAAAATGGAACTGTGTTTTCTTACTTAACACTAAATACTACAGGCTTCATGGGCATAGCCAGCTTTCAGTCAGGGGGGGGGGTGCGATCGCCAAAACAATTTCGGTTTACAGTCAGGGGGTGCAATTGTGGCATAAACAAGCCAAAAATAAAGATTTATCTTAAATTTTACAAAAATTGATGCATCTTTCTTGAAATAAAAAGCATTTTAAAGCTCTTTTCTTCTTCTATCTCATGGTTATATTTTCATTGGTTATGGGTGGTGGGAGGCTACCCCTATTAGAGGTGTCACGGATACCCGATTTTGTTTCCGATCTGCGGAATTATGGCCTCGGACACGGAACAAAAATTAAGAATTTTGGTTCGGTTCCGGAACAAGAACATTTTACCCTTTCATAACTTCTGGCCCTTGAATCTCCACAAAACAGCATTTTTCTTTCAATATTTTGAATCAAAAGAGGTTCATTCTTTTTACTCCTTCTCTTTGAAGAGTTTCGAAGAGCTTTTCGCTACCAAATAGACCTAGATGATCAGATTATTTTAATCTAATAATGCAGTCACTCTGTTCCGAACCGTTCCGAAATTGTTCCATTCCGAAGCAAAATGTTCCGAACCGAACCGTTCCGATTTTTTTTGTTCTGGACATCTCTAACGCCTATAGGCTTCAAAAATTCTTTAACAAAGTTCTTCTTGTACATATATAAGTATATATGGGAAATGTGAATAATCAAAGGTTCATTATCACACAGAATACCTCCATGAATAAAGTATATGTCCATACTGGAATATAATCAGCACTAACAAATTTTATATACATTCATTTACTGTGGAGTGTGATTTTAAGGTAGATCATTCTGAATTTATTGCCTCAAATATTTTAGGAGGAGCAATAGTGAGTGTGCCATTTAAGGTTACTGATCATAATTGTAATTTATTTATTTAGATATGGTTTTTTTCAATCAATTATTTTTCATGAAAGAATTTATTAAATTATAACATAATGAAACGTATTATATAGGTGAGAACTAAAAAGAAGAGACCAAAGACCTTAATAGAGACTAAAACCTTTATTTGTTTAATCTCCTCCATTTTAACATGAGAATATTTCTCTTGAAAGCCCATTGATCCCCCAACATTCCACTTTATATCCAAAATACAAATGGGAACTTGATGCGAAATTATGATGTGAAAGTCTGGGGTTTTCACAATTTGATTGATTGAATATTAGAAATGTGTCATAATGTAGAATAAATGATAGTTTATAATGGAGTCTATTGAAATCCAGGGTTACCCTGTGGTTAGAGTTTTTACATTACATATTGAGTCACTGACACAAAAATGTCTGATCAATAAAGTTGATAGTTAAAGTAGAAAGTTATTTTAACCTATTGAATACCAGGAGTACCAAAGAAAAGAAGAAAGCTTGTTTGAGATTCATTCACCAAAATTGCTTTAACTTTGTCAAAAATATCCAATTTACAATAGTTATGGTTTGAACTGGGTGTAATGCCATGATCTAACTGAATGGCATTTACCCAAATAGACATCACATTTTAAATAAAAAATGGAAGCTCTCGCAACAAAGAGGTAAAATAAAAGGAAGCTGTTTTATTCCATAATACTACTGTTTTCCTGGGGAAATATGAAGGAATAAAAATTGTATTGAATCGTATTAGATGGAAAAATTGTATTGTCCCTGGAAAAAATTGTATTGGAGCGTATTACATGAAAAATTTGTATTATCCCCAGGAAAAAATCATATTGGAGTGTATTAACCTATTTTTGCATTACCCAAATGTAACATTTTATAGAGGGATGTATCAAATAGATTTTGGTAATATTTTCACCAAATGAACACACATTAGGTAATGTTAAATTTTTCATGTATTGAATAAAATTCACAAAATAATGTTGAACCATAGTTGCAATGTTATAAAGTGATGGGTGTTGGATCTTTGGAAATAGATGAGCAATAGGACTAAATATCATTATGTTTTTACCTTGCAGAGTGAGAGAGGGAGGGGGACTAGAGATGGATCTCACATACATCACAGAGAGAATAATTGGTGAGTTATTATGTAGTTACTTAATATCCTTCAGGAGTTATATGAATGCCACAGTTTTGTATGCCACCACAACAAATGGTGACATATTGTTTTATGTAGTCTCTAACTTTTTTGTGGATGCTGGTTGGTGTTGGCGGTTGGCATCTGTAACAAATGGCAGGTGGTAAATTCTGTGTGTTAATGCCTTGTTATCAGTTGATATTGATTCAAATAGTATATTTGTTATTTAGTAAATGTACATTGTATTTTGAAGAGTTCTGTGATTCTGTTGATCAACTATCATATCTTGATAAATTCTGATACCTCATCCCTTCTTATATTGTGCATTACTGTAGGACAGAAAGATGTGATGAGTACTGTATGTAACAGAAATTTGTGCAGAGATTGGCTGTTCCCATGTGTTCTCTTAAGAGAGGCATTCATATTCCCAGATTTGACTAAATTGTTCTTGCAGCGATGGCATTCCCAGAAGAAGGTTTTGAGGCAGTGTATCGTAGCAACCTCCAGGAAGTGACACGTATGTTACAAAAGAAGCACACCAACAACTACATAATCATAAACCTCTCAAAGAAGAGATACGACATTGCCAAGTATAACCCTCAGGTACATGATCTTTTTCATTTCTCTTCTCCCATCCAAATCATCCGTCTGTCCTTCCATCATTCTTTAGTTCATCATTAGTATCAGTGACAATTGTGACACTTTTGAAATGAAGTGTGCATGATGGTGACATTTTATCATTTATTACCATGATTCCTTTTGAATTAATGATTCCGAGAATAATTGTTCTGAATTAATTGAACTGAATTGATATATGGAAGGACTGAATTGATATATGGAAGGATCAAATAAATACAAAGTTGACCACAAAACCTCCCCAAAAACCACCTTTGTAACCTTTCAGTGATATGATGAATAATAGTTGTAATGAGCGGTGTCTTGAGAGCAGCCTGATAAAAGGGAAGATGAAGTTCCCTTTTAAAGAAACAAAATCAATCATACAGGATCTTAGATGAAGTTCAAGACACAGTGCTTTAATAATAAGATAATATTCTTTAGTGCATTTATTGACTTAAGTTATTCTCAAGTTTTGGATTAAGTTACCCTTTATGACACCAAAACTCAATTATCTTCATCTTCATTACATTTAGCGTAAGAACAAGCTGTATCCGTAAATCTTAGGGTAGCCAATAATGCTGAAATATAAATGCAATAGAAAACAATGAAATATAAAAAAACCTGAGGTTACATTTTGTGGCATTGAGAACTATAATTGATTTACACAATATATTGATATGTACTTGAATGATCATTCAACGGGTAAACATAATGTTGCATTATTGCTTTAAACTGGCTCTTAATCTTGGGAAAATGCAACAAAAATAACATGTTGTTCTTAAACAATACACTAACAATGACATATCACTAATACCCAATAACACATACCCAAGGGAAGACTCCGATCATGAAGGTATCATCAGAGGGCTTTGTTTTAATTTTTTCTAAAGGGTAGATAAAACAATTGAAAACATCAAACAATTGAAATCATCAAACAGAGCTATTGTGCTTCATTTTACTATTTTATAGAAAAGTAGATCACTCATTATTGAGTTTTAGCAAATAACCAATTTGTGCCTTAAATGATTCTTGATACTTTGAGCAATCTTCAGCAATTTTCTCTTACAATTTTCATGTCACCACCAGAAGCGGTGACATATTGTTATAGTCTCCAACTTTTTTTGTAGATGGTGCTTGGCATTTGGTGGTTGGTGTCATTTGGCATCTGTAACAAATGGTAGATGGTGACATTTTGTATGTTAATGCCATATTCCATATTCCATGGTCCATTAGGATTCTTAGTGAAGAGATATACCACTGTAAAAGTCAACGTGTGAGTGAGAGAATGCATGTATGAATGAATTGAATGGGTATAATGAAGTTCAACTTGTAAGATCATGTAAAATTATATTTATTTAAACTTATACAACTTATAGTACATATTTCTGCATATAAAACTTTTGTGAAATAATATTTGTATTCTTTGTATTAAATGAGAACTTGAAATAAAAAAAAATGTTAATGCCTTATTCAATTGAAATGTCAGTGTTTAAAGTTGTGGTGGGTTGTGCATATACAAGTGCTATTTGTATTAATCAGTAGTTCATATGAAGAAGCAGTTCAATTGCAACAAATTGCCCTGTAGTCAGATTAAAAAGAAATCTGAAATTAGGGTTTGGGGCTTTGATGCAAGCCCCAAGAGGCCCCTGGATATGGTTAGAACATTAGATTCCCTGACTAGAGAATTATGACCTTTGACAAAGAGCAATGAGCAAGGTTTCTCCTTAGGGAGAGGATGGGAGTAGAGTGAATGACAATGTGCATAGGATCTTATAAACAAGCACTAGGGGAGTGCTTAGCTAGCAATTATTCCAAACAATCCTAACTCTGTAAGAACCATTTTTCTCCCGATTGGTAGCGAATCTGTCAAAGATCATATAATTTATCTGCATAATCTCATAGATCTAGTAAGTGATCCAAATATGAAATAATATATTTTTCATCATTCAAGATGTTTTCAGAAACCATAAATGTCACTTCACTCATTTGTTCTGGGACATTGTGCCCTTGTATCATTGATTCCATAGAAGCTTTGAAGGGAGCAATATAGAAACAACCAATCAACATCAGTCTTAAACAATTTTACACTTGACTAACATTATAATATCCTTAGATTGAAACTTTTCTTTGTTGACTGGCAACACTTGCCTCTGATTCTTACAGATGATTTTATAGTTCTGATGTTGATACAATCTTCATGCTTGATCCAAAATTAGCTTGTATGATCTTTTATTGGCGTTTGTAAATTAAACAAATATCAGCTACATAGACAGTAAATGTAGTGGCGTGATTCTCAGACTACGAATTCTTATTGAATATATGCGGGGCGAGATCAAAGAATTATCTCCAATTTGAAGAGTATAGATTAAAGATTAAGTTCTTGCAGAGGGTAAAATATTCTTGAAGGATGCTTCCATTGAAGCAGATGTGGCATTGATTTAGTCCTGTCTCAAGAGCCATCCACGCAGAGATGCAAGAGGCTGATATACGTTCCAAAACTATTTAGCCTTGAATTCAAGAGTTAATTGCATAGCATGTTGGAAAACACAATTTCTCCAAGGCAACGGACTATCAAATATAAACTTGCTTCTATTATATCAATGCAATATTGATGGGGAACAATTAGAAAGATATCAGATTGTGTTTTGATTGATTGAAATCCAATGCAACCTGCACCTTACAGTACAGTATAATGGAGAAGTTGAAACTTTGACATATCGAGTGGGAAAGGTAATATGGGCTACAAGATATTTGATGGATTATTTTTTACTTTATGTATGTGTGGCTACCTAAATGGTGTAATAACATTCATAACATACATGTATTGATAGATAATCAGATACTGATTTAGAGCAATGTACAGTATAGTGTAATATTTAGTACAACAAACGAAGTATTTTGTTGTTTCTGGTCAGTGACCACTTCCCATAATGCAGTGTCTTTCAACCGACATGTTTGTTTCAGGTCCTTGACTATAACCCATAATGCAATGTTATTCAGCAGATGTCTTTGTTGCAAGTGCTTGACTCATTACCGATAATAAAACGTTATTCAGCAGACATGTTTGTTGCAAGTACTTGACTATTACCCATAATGCAATGTTATTCAGCAGACATGTTTGTTGCAAGTACTTGACTATTACCCATAATGCTATGTTATTCAGCAGACATGTTTGTTGCAAGTACTTGACTATTACCCATAATGCAATGTTATTCAGCAGACATGTTTGTTGCAAGTACTTGACCATTACCCATAATGCAGTGTTATTCAGTAGACATGTTTGTTTCAGGTCCATGACTATGGCTGGCCAGAACAATTAGCGCCACCTTTAGAGACATTATGCAGTATATGTAAAACAATTGATTCATGGTTGAACACTGACCCCCAGCATGTTGTGGTGGTGCATTGTAAGGGGGGCCCAGGTCGCCTAGGGGTCGTTATAGCTGCATATATGCACTATAGCAGTATATGTGCAAGGTAAGCATTGGTGCATGTTATCCAATTATCAACAGTTGTGGAATGACAAAGTTAGTTTCGTTAGGGGGAGGGGGTAAATGATGGTTTTGTTGGCAAATAGTGTTGATTTTCTTATATTCAAGTGAAAGAAAAGTCAACATTTAAAAATTTTGTTAGATGAGGGGATGGGGGTCAAGCTAAAAATGAAATTAACTTTGTTAATCCACAACTTTTGATATTTGGACACCATCCCTAAATCCATTCTATTCTCATTTTCAGACAAGGTCAAATGATCGATCTCATTGGTTCGTGAGATGTACAAGGCCTCATGTAAATTGAACTTCAACCATAATAAATTTAAGTGAATTGACTTGAAGTGAGTTGTGTTTGCATTTTGTTGTAAGATCATTTAATTGTTGCCATGGCATTGAAGTAACTCCCACATCAATTTATTGAACATTGTCTGGCAAAGGGGCTACTTCTTTATTTGCATTTTTTGTATCTACTGTATTTTTGTTAGTATGGTCTCATTGTATTTTATTTTTTTGTTTATTGTACACTATAGTGACCAATATGTTATTTTCCCGTCATCAGATCGAGAGTCAATAAAATAAAAGACATTTACATATACTGTATTAGATATACTGTACAGTGTAACTGTTGAAATATTATAAAAATCAGCCCTTGTTATTTATTGTTATATACAGTATTTATTGTTATATACAGTATTTATTGTTATCCATTAGCAAACACTGATGCAGAATCTTAAGATTGCTGTCAGAGCTGTAATTGTCATTTAGTCCAATACAATTTTGTGCCTTAATATTGGATGATCATTTATATTATTTATATTATAGTGCAGAAGGTGCTCTGGACAGGTTTGCAATGAAGAAGTTTTATGATGACAAACTCGGGGGCCTCACTCAACCCTCTCAAAAAAGGTTGGTATTGCATCATGATAATCTTCAGAATAACATTAACTGCATGTTTAGATACAGTTAGAATTACTATGGATACTTTGCCTAATCTTTGACATTTTTGTTCTTTAGTACCATTATAATGACAATTTGTTATTTCCAGATATACCATCAAATAATGAATCATTTGTCTTTACTGTAATAGCAATAAATAAAAAAACTGGAATAAAAAGGAGATAATCGAATACCTCTTTGAAAAATGGTTCTTTAAATCCTCATATTTCGTAAGATCTGGGTAAATTATGTTTGCTATTGTAGACCATTCCAGATGGTCTCTAATTAAACTATCCCATATTTTACAGTTATTAAACTAGCCTGAACTCCCAATATAAATCACACGTCGGTGAAGACTCCTTCTCCATCTCATTAAATGTTCATAGGGAAGAGAACCCTTGAATGATTAATGGTAAAATTTATTTCAGAGCAACCAGATTCATTCCATTTTCAACTTCCAAAGTCAGCTAAACCTTGTGAATCAAGATGAATCATTCTGGGCATGCCCAAAATAGTGAATTAAAGCCATTTAAATGAATCTACTGCATGAACACTCATTGAATTTGTATTTTTGTTTTCCAGATACGTCCATTATTTCGCTGGGCTCTTATCAGGTGCAATAAAAATCAACAATAGTCCCCTATTTCTTCATCAATTGGTGATCCATGGGGTTCCCAACTTTGATGGCAGGGGTGGATGTCGACCTTTCATCAAAGTATACCATGCAATGCAACCAGTGTACACATCAGGGGTTTAGTGAGTAACCATGACAATTATTTTGTTGTTTCTAGATTAAATATTTAAATGATTACTTTTTAGTTTGTGTATGTTTTATGTAGAGGATACATTTTGGATAATAAATACATTTATCAAAGATAAAATGGGTTTAGTGAGTTACCATGACAAATATTATAGACTCTAAACATTTAATTTATTTGGAATTAAAATAAAGATGTCTCCATTACATTTTGTTTAATCAAAAGGGTCTAAATATATGCACATTATTTATTTTCTAGCAATGTGGCTAACACAATGCAGCGAGTGTGTATTACCCCCGAGACTGCCTTACAACTACGTGGTGATGTTCTCATTAAATGCTACAATCGCGGTGATCGGCAACGTGACGTAATATTTCGTTGCCAGTTCCACACTTGTGCCATCTCTAACTTCAGCCTCACTTTTAATAAACAAGAACTCGATGATGCCACATCAGGTAAGAAAGAATAAGTGAATGAAAAAATGGCTCTTGCAATAACATAATGAAATAATAGTCCAGCCTGGAGAATAGACCTCTCCAATAAATCCTGACCTGCCACCAGATTTTGGTATATAGAAGAAGTTATGATATGTTGGCTAGATCTAGGATGTCATTGGTTGTAGGTCAGAATTTGTCCAATTAAAAATAGAATAACCTTCGGTCTACTGCATTGACTTATTGCAATTTTGAAAAGTACAATCTATGACATCACCAATCTAGCCAATACGAGGGGTGATCCAAAAGTCTTGGACGCCCCGCTCTAACTTTGCTATTTTTTGATATAATTACATGAAACTTTCAGATAATAAAGATCAACATCTTAACAACTTTATGTATAAGTTTCAACAGAAAATGATATATTTTAGCTACTTTTCAACATATCTTTTAATACCGGGTCCCCGCCACCCGGAACGGTATTTAAATATAGCAAATCACATCACAACTGTTATAATATGGCAAATACTTTAGGTGCAGGTGCACAACCTAACACCAGCCATGATATGAGAGAATTTTCGATTTTCAATCTGAGTGTCATCTGTCATCTCATCTTCACATATTAAGACCTACTTTTCAACATATTTTCCACGAATTTGAATACATTTTTCATACCACTTTACCAATGAATGGAAGACATTTATGAAACCCCCATTGCTTAATATGATACAAATGCTGCTAAAGTGGTATTCTAAACCTCATTCAATGAGTAAAAAACATTTTCTTTCAACCAACCTTTCAACTTGGAGGAAAGGAAGAAAATCACATGGAGCCATAGATAGAATGTATCGTGCATATGGTAGCTGATCAAGGTCAATAACAGTGAAAATATCTTGTAGTATTCTTTGTTCCACTTTAATTTCTTACGTGTTCTGCATTTCAGCAGCCATCTTGCAGCAAAAATGATACCGGAATGAGTGTTGCTTGTCTGATGGCATTTTCTTAGAATTTGACATGTGCGGCCATTGTCAATTGTGACATTATAATTAAAACACAATTAATTGGTTGCCTAGTAACAAAGGAAGTAGACTAATATGGTTTAACATTCAAAATTCAAAGAAATATAGTAGTCAAGACTTGCGAAACAAGTGAAATGGCGGTAAAATTTAAGGCTGAAAGTTGCCATGTGCGAATACCGTTCCGGGTGGCAGGGTCCCTGTATTAAAAACTATCTAGAAAACTATATAAAATATATCATTTCTCCATGAAATTAATAAACAAAAGTAGTTAGGTTGATGGTCTTTATTATAGGAAAGTTTAAAGTAATTTTATCAAAAACCAACAAAAATAGAGCAGGGCGTCCAAGACTTTTGGATCACCCCTCGTACACTATAGCTTTTGATGTACCAAAAGGTGGCAAGGTTTAGTGGAAAGGTCTATTGAGTTTGGATTTTATTTGGGAAAAATTTCTAAAAATCTCGCTGTATATGTTTACATGTATAGATGTCAGTCAGGTAAGTTTATTCATTGATAGTTGGTGCTACAATCAGGAAAGATAATTCAATCTCTGAGAAACACAACCTTAATGTATTGCACCTTGGGATATTACCAACCTCTCTAGGTGATTCAATATACATTGTATATGGAAAAATAGTTACCACTATCTCTGTTCTACTAAATCTTCTATGAGTTAGAATGGTTTAAAGAATGTAGTTTGGAAACATTCTTTATGCACTCTAGATAGTTTTGGAATGAGAGATGAGGATATAACACTTGGCTCTTATATCTTTAGGCTCACATTTCACTCTCTCTATCTTTATGGCCAGGTCTATGATATGGTCAGGTGTAATATATGCCTGGTAACTATTCTCAGCAGATTGTAGACTTTAAGATCAGTGGCGTAGCCAGGATTTGGTGACCGGGGGTTCTGTTTTTATGTTATTCACAAATTCCCCCCCCCCCCTTCATTAGGGTTCTTTAAATAATGCAATTTGTACAATTACACTCCCTCCAAAAGTTTGGCAATCCTAACTAACCCATTGGATCATGTATTAAAGCATCTTTAGGTTTGAATTCTTATATGCATAATTTGTAAAGAAAAAACTATTTTGAGAGGGGAAATATAATTCACTTTAGTACCTTCATTAAGTTAAGTAGACAATTGAATTTGAATTTTATTTAACAAAAATGATGTCTTTATTTACTGAAAGTAATAGGCTTTATCAAGAAACCTCTCCCATTGAAATAACACAGGACGTAAAAATGATTTGTAACTTTAATGTTCACAAAGTAAAATAAACAGGCAACGTGCAAAAAGCCAGACAACTTATAATTAATTTTCTGCATCAAAATATATTTCGGTGAATCTTTTACTGAATAAATATCCTGAAATCTGATTTTCCCCGAATCCACCATTATTTCGTCCGATTTCTGGAAGACCCTGGAGCATGATTTGTTTCCAAGGAATATCAACTATTTCGCACAATTTATTCTTTAACTTAAGCTACTTCATCTAGGACAAAATAAAGCACCTCATGCAATGGCTTATCATTGCTTTTCAAGAATTTTGTTGGAAGCCAGTTCGGATCAAATGCAAGGTTATTGAAATTGACGCAAACACCCATATACTCCGAAAGATCGTTCTTCTATGATAACTTTTCACAACGTTTACACGAAGGCTTTTTAAACTATCCGGGATAGTGGTATTACTGATAAAAATATCTATTATTCAAATAAATGGGTCTCGGTTATGCTATATGTTTTAAGAAGTTAAAAATATTTCTTTGGACGTCCCCGGAGCTCAGTGGTAAGTCCCCCGGAGCAGATCAACCGCGATTGATAATAAAACGTTTTAGTTGATATAATTAATCATATATAAATACAAGCGTCTGTTATTTTGTTAAGTTCAGACGGCTTGATAACAAATTAGGCCTTCGTTATTTGAAGATTAATACCATATGATTTTCAATGTTTCTTTTATTATATAATTTATTTGCTAAACATATCATGACATTGACATGAAAATGAAGAGCAAGTAAACTGGAACGATAACAATTTGAATTCCATACAATCTCTTAGATGAGTGGAGTGTATCTGAAAAAAAATAAAATCATTTTTTGCAATGATTGATTTTCTTTGGAAAAGTGATGGGTAAATAAATACTGAACACATGTAAGAATGAATAAATTTGAACAATGCTTGTGTTTATAAATGATTTACGCTTTTAAATAATTCATTTCACAACGTTTTTTATTATTTAACACAATTGATTTCGGGACTTGCCAGCCCCAGGGACGTCCCAAGAAATATTTTAAATTTTAATTGAAATAAAACAAAACAGAGATGTACACATTTGAAAGAACATGTGTTTTATCAATATTGCGACTATTCCATATATTTATTCGTCAATGTTGTAAAATCATTCGGAGTATGGGACGTCTGCATTGTTTTCAATAACTTTCAATAACTTCGTATTGGACCAGAACTGGCTTAAAACAAAATTCCTTCAAAGGACTGATTTAGCCATTGCCAAAGATGGGTTATTTTGTCCAAGAAGAAGCAGCTTTTAAGTTAATTGTGCGAACTTATTGTTATTTCTAAATGTAAAATCTCATGATGCTCTGGGGTCTTTCCTTAAATCTCACCCAGTGCCTAAGGTTGCCAAACGTTTTGAGGGAAATGTAACTTCACTATGACATGTTTTTAACAAAATAAGGCTCTCATGCATGTTCACCATAACAAATATTAAATCATTTACTGCTCCTATATGTAGTTTTCAAATAGCACAGTAATTTAATATTTCTGGTTATATGCATTTTTCCGCAAAATTATATTTTGGGAAATCCTGACCGGGGGTTCGTTCGAACCCATCGAACCCCCGCTGCCTACGGCTATGAAGATGTTTGAGATTACCATTCTCTTAAATAATATATCTATTATTACGTGATCTAGTTTTGAATAAGTTTTTGATATCCTGAATCCCATTTGACTGACTGTTTCTTCTGACTATTCAAGGTGATTTTACAGTTTTCATGCCTACAATATCTTCATGATCTGAAATGGTCAGTTTTCATGGCCTTTTATGGCCATATATATTTTCATTAACAATTCTGGTATCCAAGATATTCCAGAATTGATTATTGCAATTTACATCCCAATATATAATGTGCCTTAAACATGTACTTATCTACCTTAATTAGTTGTCCATGCAATCTGTACCTTTCAAGTTATTACCCTAAATCAATCATAAATTCCAATATCAGTTATTTCCTTGGCTGAAATGGGATTCCTCTCACCACCTCCTAAAGTCCCCCTATAACCACCCCTAGCTACAGACATGAATGTGCTGATTCAATCTCTTCCACTATACTAGGTCACCCCAAAACTTCTATAGACATCAGTTATTTTTCCAATCTTTGTTTTAGGGACTTGAGGTACTTTCATGGACCCCAAGGGCAACACAGTGTAATATTTCAGGAGTTTTTGTTTAGAACAATTAAGATAAGAATTGGTATTTTATCTCACATATGTGAGGAGGCCTACCATCTTGTTTCTTACCCTTTTCAAGAGCTTGACTTAATCTGCACTTTTCAGATTAGGTGGTTTATAGAATATGGTTTCCAGTAAACTAGTTGGAAATGTTAATAAGAAAATAATAATTTTTATATATTTGTTATGTTCTTTTTAATTCGTATTGATGCAGCTGTAGAAAAAGTTGTGACTCTTAATACCCTAAATTTGGTGGAGAGAAATAAATAAATCTTAAAAATCTTTTAAAAATCCGATCAGAATATGTTGTCAGATAATCAGGGCATTTTATTTTCTGTCTAAGTAGCTAAGATTCATTTTATATTTGAACTTCCATAAAGGGCAATGAAAGCAAGATTGTAGACTGTAGAATCAGCTGTTCATCAGAGGGAAGTGTGATTTACTGTTGTGGTCTCAGGGTATTTCCAAGAGGAAGGGCCTAGATCAAGTAGTATAAGCACAGGTTCTAACATGAACCTGCCAAAGATGATGATAATTCTAAATATTCGCTGTGGATGTTGAGATCACATTGACATTATAATGGATTGTTCTTCTTTCTATAGAATTCTGCAGACTTTTCATTCCAGGAATTGACATATTCTCCTTTATTCCCTATGGATTCTAGAGCCAGAAAACCTACAATTGGGCTCCAGAATTGATTAAATTGTCTGGGTATTCTGGGTCTAAAAGACTTGGAACTTCATGTGCTGAAAGTCTCTTGGAATTCTGGATTCTTTAGAATATATTATCTCTTACTGAGGATGTTATCTTCATCTGTAGCACATGTTCTTGTATAAATGCACCATTGTATAATCTCAGTCCAACTCAATCTGCTTGCAACCTATATATAGACATCTAGTTCAGGTTGGCACACAAGCAGGTTAGAAGTAAATATTTAGTTTTTCAGAAAAACATTTTTTATTTGGTTTGATATGGTAGACTGGCCAAGGTTTGCATTAGATAAAGCATAAGCTAGAAATTTGGAAGGTTTCTGACATTTCTCATTATGATTATACAAGGCTGGCACATATTAAGTTTTTAGATGAAATGCATGCCCTTTTTCAATAACACAATACAATGTATTTCTGTTGTTAATGTGTTAATTAAACAAAAGATGGCTTTAATGTTGAGATTTTTGTGCCGTTTTGTTTGATTGCTTCAATGTTTGGTTGATTGATACCTTGTTTGTTTGTTTGTTTTCAGATGAAAGGTTCCCAGAATCTGGCAAAGTGGAGGTTGTATTCTCAGATTCACCACACAAACCACCAGGTGAGTTGATGCATTCTTTATAGTACAGGGTGTCTTGAACAAGTACATCAGTAACACCTACAGAGGATTTTAGACACCTTGTATCCATCATACCATTGGCATGGAAAGCAAAATGTAGACAGTGTAATTGTTTATTAGTCTGACATTGGAGAATGATTGTTCAATGATTAATCAAAAATGAGTTATTCTCTTGAACACTAATTGAGAACAACTCCACTGGTTCTTGTTCCTCTACCCTTTTCAATAGTTTTGTTTTACTTTTTATTTGTAATTACTAGCCTCTCATCTTCAGAGTACGTCATGGTCAGAGTACCTGAGAAATATAGTTGAAAGTGTTAATCATTTGCTTTCTTATTTTGGCTGGAATAGATGGAAAGTTTGTACTTAAAAGAGTTTTTTCTTCAACCTTGTATTGTAAGAAGTAGCTGTGTTTTTCTTTTAATTGAATTAGTGTTCAAAAACTGAAGTAACTTCTTGGTGAGGATAGTAAATATGAGTGTTTAGAGGATAAATAGATGCATCTGTTGAAAGGTGACCAGGGTTAATTGGAGCCCATAGTTTTGAAGTGATGTGTAATCACAATTACACCAATTAGTTTAAATGCCAGTGATCATTAGAGGATGACACCAAAACACTTGTTGGTGTAAAGTTCCCCTACTGGGCTCATTTGTTAAGAAATCTAGCCTGAAGGCCTATAAATATTTTCTTTTTTTTGGAGCAAGTGTATACTGATTCAAGGGTATGGGATTGATAAACTAACACAATGAACATAATATAGAAATACCAATAGATGAATTGATGGAACTTTCCAGATCAATATACCACTCTGTTCTGTTACATCAAAGATAAGACAAGAATGAAATATTCCCAAACTGATCATAATACATGTCATGCATCACTGCCTTTTGGCATACAATAAAAAACAAATCATATCAAATAGGTTCAATTTGTGTATGAGGAATAGTTTTTGCAGAAGCTGGCTAGCATACAAAAATGACATGAAATCCATTCTGCATTATGTCTTTGATATATTTAAAGGTTTGACATTATACATATGTAGGTGGGCTGTCAAAATAACTCTAATCTTGATAGATATACTGGTAAGGTATTTCTAACCAGTAACCACCTTTCTGATAATGGTTGTGGTTAAAAAATGTATGATGGATATATATCTTAAAATGTATAAAAGCATTTAAGAGTGGAATCAGCAAGGAATAAAGTAAATTCATATGTGGTCAATTTTTCAAGGTGTATGGAGAAATGCCTGTGATAGAAAAAAATGTAATAACAATTCTTGATCTCAGGAAGAAGTATAGTGTAATTATCATGAATAAATAGAAAGTTTAAACCTGGACTAAATGGTTGCTAGAACATAATCCAATATATATGTGGATCATTGGCTATCATCAAATCCCCATTGGCCCAATCTCATTAGAAAAAAATAACTTGATTCATTTGTTTTCATTTCAAAATAGTTCCTCAGCTTTGAGTGGGTTGTAGTTGATAACATAAATTCCCAAGGAGGTTAAGAATTGAAAGCACTTTTTAAGTCATGATTTCTTGGTTTTATTTATTTCTAAGTTCAGTTGGTTGATAGCAATTATTTATGCTGGCAAGCATCCAGTGAGTGCAGCTCCAATGGATGAGGTATCAGATCTCATCATATTGCCAAAAATAGTAACAGTCCCACTTCCATTAGTCTATCCCATATGTTCTCATCTTCTTTGATTCTTGTTCCCACTGGAGGGTTCCTAAAGTGGTTTAGCTGTAATACAGTGAACATTTGAAATAAACTTGATTAAGAATTTAAGATTGTCTCAGAATGTATATTATTTATGCAGTTGATCATGTTTTTCTGTGACAATGTCAGGCACATAATATTACTTTTTGCTGGTTTGGAAGTTTTTTTAGGTTCAGGCTGTTTAGTAGACTGTTTCTGGCTGTTGCCTGCTGTTGGCTAGCTTGGTATGGAAGTGAGAGGGTCAGTTAACAAAACAACAGCTTCATCTGCACAGTGGTTCACTTCCTGATATTTGTACATTTCATTGCCAATTTTTTATATTTCATATTTGGGCTATTGACAGGGTGATAAATGTAAATGTATAAGATGTGGTCTTCATTTCATAATAGAATAATAATGAGATGATTTTTATGAATCCACACTTTTTAACCGAATCAAAATATTGAAAAATGTCATTTAGTTTTATGTGTTGATTGATCTCAATTCAAAATAATGTGCATCTTCTTTTCAACAGAAAATAGAATGCCTTTTAGAACTTGACAAATCTGGTGACATTTCATTTTATATCATACCATTGAATGAGTATATGAGTAAGAATATTTTTGTATTGAATTACCTAAATACATATAAAATACTTTATATATCAAACCAAAATAAATCATTGTTAAGGTTTCTTGAGTTATCATTTGTATTTTGAAACTTGAGATGATTCTGAAATAGAGCCCACTGTAACCTTACCAGGCCAAGTATTTCAGACAACCGGTTCATATTTCACTACAAAGTGGTATTTTACAATTTACTGACTCATTCATTAATCATCTCATCTCAGTGTTTCCACCTGAAGCAGTTTCCTGATTCTAGTTGCTATAGCAACACATCCTGGCATTTCCTCAACCCACAAACAACAAAACTGAGTCTAATGAAATCCATTTCCATAACTAGTATCAGTATACTGACATCACATTCACTTTGCTTGTGTTTGATCTTCAAATATCCCATAATGCATTTGATTTAGCAGACGGAGCTTAGATTTGTACCTCAAAGCGCTGAAAGATATGTTTGATAAAGTGGGTGAGTGTTGTCCTTATTCATCTTTTATCTTTCAATCACTGATGCTCAACATTTGATTAAAATGGAATGTCTATTTTGAGCTAGAGAAACTATTTCAAAATCAACAATTGTTTTCTGCTGAAGCTGTTTTGGTTTATGTGCAGTTGATGTAAATAGCTCAAAGGGAAGCTCAGTTAAGCTTTTTATCAGGTTTGCTGTTATCAGTGTATGTAAATCTTGGTTCTCTGTTGCCAAAGCATGTAAATTGGTGATGCTCAAAGATGGAAAATATTACCATTTAGGTGTTTGTAGTCTCGTATCAAGTCTGTGTTAGCCTGTGATTCTCTCTCAATCACACATCAGGTTTCGGGAAATAACCACCCCATCAATCTGTCGCTCCTTTCTGTTAATTTCCAGTTATGGTTTGAGTGGGATGGGAGTGGGTGGGCAGAGATTTTATGAAAGGCAAAGTTGTTAGTTTCTGATTCATTTTTCTAGTTAGACCATGAAGAGTGTAAAAACATCCACTGTTGAGATGCTGATCTGTTTTACATTTGTCTGTTGATTGTTCTATTGTTGCCATAGTGATGAAGGGACCCCTGAGATACCCTCTCATGAAAGAACTATGTTGAAGCTTCTAAAACTGAGAGTGTTACCAAGGAGATGGAAGATTTATATTTTTGCTGAAAGGTTCAAGTTCTGTTTGTTGCTTACATGTTGATGTGGGTTTGTATATTAATTTGGGCCTGCATTGTGATGTAGATTTACATTTTACACAAACTATCCTTCTGATAGGCCTGTCTTAGTTTAATTATTCATATCCCAAATCACAAAGGGCAACATAAAAATGATCTTGTGAAACCTGAAGAACATAAACCAATGAGAACTGCTATTAAAACTAGCTAATTGTTAGTTGATCTAAAATGAATGATTGAACTGTCTGTGCACTACAATATATTTTTGGAGTTTATTGTTGCCAGATTTGTGTTATCCCCTATTCTTCAAAAGAACATGTACTCTGAGATGATCATTTGCTCTGTGAGGCATGGTTGGAATTGGTGTCAGGTTTATCAATTAGTTGCTCACATTTACATGCAACTCAAACATTTTTGCTTCTGCTAATTGGGTTAGCTAAGAAATCAGGTATCACTGATCTTGTATGGTTACTAACTTTTCAAGGTTATCTCTACTAATGATGTTGTATGTTGCATCCATTACCAAATCAGGAGCCCATTGAAGGGGAAAGATTTAGAGATTACAAAAAGTGATTTTCATTGAATCACTGACCAATTTGGCCATTGTCATTATGGATTATCTTCAACTCTATAATATGTAAAATATAAATGTTATAATTTTATATTGAGACATTGGACAAACTTTGAAAAAACGTTTGCATTTATGGAATAGATCGATGAATGTTATGAATCGATGGCTGCTACAGATGTTAAAGAGAATGATACAGACCTCGAGGTAACTGATAAATTGCAAATTGACAAGCTTGAAGACAGTAGCCTCAATGCTTCAGTATTTGGGAAATACAACACCAACAATACATCTGTGGAAGATGTGCAGTCGATGGAAGACAGTTCCCATAGTGCACCATTACCCACAATTGATATCTCAGTAAATATGAAGAATCTTTACTTTGACATATTTATCAAACCTCCTTGTGTGAGAGAACCATCAACCACTGAACTTTCACATGGAGATGTACTGTTCACAGGTATTTCATATTTTATATGTCCCAGATATGGCAGAAACACCAATTTTAACAATACTAAGAGAGTAGTGGATGTGGTTACCACAATGTCAGAACAGTGATATTTGGAATGATGTTCATGTTGGATGAGTTGACTGTCCCCATGGTGATACATATCAATGGCGTCTCATTTTTTAGAGTTGACTATGTGTGAATCCAGATGGATCCACATTGCCATGGTACTTCATGATGATTATCTCAGGCATGGAAAGAAGTTCAGAAAATATATATATATATCATTCCAATCATCATTTCAATACAGTAAAACCTGTCTAAGGATCGGAGAACACCTTTAGTATCTCTAAAAAGTTCCACTTAGGTGTTCCACTTATAGAGGATCATTTAACATTAAATAAGTCGGTCTTGGGACTCTGAAAAGTTTTCCACCAGTAGATGAGTTCCTTTATTTATTTTAGAGGTGTCCTACTTTACAGGTTTCATGTAAAACTACAAGAAATGATGTGTAATATAAATAATTGCTCTGTTTCTCTTGTTCATATCGCTCAAATAAATTTCAGACCTATGATGAATTAAATGTATAAGTGTGGGTTTTGCTATACCATTTGAGACATAACTTTGTTTATGTTTAAACCCACCAGTTAAAGATTTCTATTAATATTGAATCATTTTAGTATACGATAAGATGCATACTTGTAGTAACCATGACAACATTATCTATAATTTACTTTCATTCTATGTACAAACAATTTCACATATTTTTATTATCATGTAACTTTAATAGAAAAGTTCACCTCAGAAGATGTTCCTTGTAATAACCTAATTAACTCACAGAAGGGTGATATCCCAACTGGCATTGCAATGCCATGTGGCCTGAATTGACCAATTATCTTTAGCTATAACACTCAAAGAGCTTGGTAAAATTTTATGTTTCAGTAATTAATCATATGTTTTGATATGAGTTGTGCCTTGGAGCGTCCCATAGATATTAGATGTTTATATATAGCACACCTTGCTGGGGTTAAGTATTCCTTACATCTACTAATTAAGAAATCAGTTAAGTCCTTACTTATACTAAGTATATTCTTGTTTTTCAGACTCGGTTTTTCAGACTCGGTCATGAGAAATGGACTAAGGGGTATGATTATTTGGTATAAATGGTGCAATTTATTTTGTTGGACACTACTTCATATACATTATCTTTAGGATATAGGATTCTTGTTGGATTCTGTTCCTACGTTTTGAGATATTAATTTCTTTCAAATTTTGCCTCTTGACTGCTCTTAGATTGCAACACCATCTTGTTGTAGTGCTGCATCAATACCCTGTTTTAGTCCTTCTGGCCCCTCATTCCTACAAGAGAAAAAATAGATAGGGGGTGGGGAGGGAGACCAACTATATGATACAAAGCAGTGAGAGCTTTCACTTGTTGATTTCGTGAAGTCTGTGATTGTACATGGCTCATCTTTACCCATTCACTGTCTGTAAGTGGCTACATTCCAGCCTGAATGTTTTATGAGTGTTCCTTACTAAAGGTCGTGGAAGTGAAGATTGGATGAATCAAACTGTTTTAATTTGGTCAACTCTCCATGACGCTTAGTAAAGGTATGCTGCTCTCCATAACATCACATCACATTTCTGGTTGCTATATTTAGACATACAGACCCTCTCGTAATCTCCAGCAATAATCATACTGATCTCAAATGAATGAACTTTCGAATCAAGCCATTTTATTTTGACCACTCTTGATCCACTTTTTCTTCATCTTATCAGGTTATCAAAAATTTTGGGCCAATTTTGATAATTTCATATATTCTTGGTAACTTGATATTGTGGGCAAGATAGTGTAAAATTGTAACATATGTAAAGGGGTTCCATGTTATGTTAGACCATGCTGTAAGTCTAGGAGATATGTGTCTGTTTCCATCTTCACTTAGTCAGCTCTCAGCACTTTATGACTTGAGGGACCAAACCATCACTACAGCCATTTGTGGTCTGAATGAACATCAGAGGGGATTCCATGGGAAACGGAGAGATTAATGAAAATTGATGAACCTAAATGTGGAATTGCTACTTAAAAATGTTATAGCTTCAAGATTCATGCATTTTGTATTGTGACATAATAGGGGTTTGTGCTAGGATTTATTTGTCCTCTGGGGTTATGTGATGTCCCCCCAGGCCTATCTATCACCCCCTGGTGCATCCTCTAGAAGTAGATACACTGGTATGTTTTAGAAGAGGATCATCTCTGAGCATCCTTGCACTCACATCTCAGACTTTCACAACATATGTCATGTTCCTTGTTAAGCTATCACATCAATAACTGTCTCATAGAACAGGATATTTGGTACATTGGGTTGGTCAGTGACGCTACAGTCTTGGATATTTGGATATATTGATAGGATTTACCACATGTACTCGAGAAGGATATTACTTTAGGTGGTCATTATGGATATGGTTTGGTTGCAGTTGGATGATGTCTCACTGGGATCTGAAGCATCAGGTATTTACCTGTACTGTATATATGTAATGTTATGAACTACAATGGTGGTCAACAAGGAGGCCAAATTCCAAAGTCAGAATTTTCAGTAATCCCATGGGCTTTCATGGTAATCCCAAATGAAAGGCATTCTATTTGTTACACCAGTGTTGGATCAAAATGATTTGTAAGGATAAGCAGGTTCTTAAGTGTGAACAACAAACCAAAATGAAATTCTCATTTTTGTCAAAATGTGGATGGCCTGCACCTAAAAGCCCATAGGCTCCCTCCCCTAATCTTTCTCCTATTGTGGTCATTGGACAATGTTAGCACTTACTTAGTAACTGACTGGAGTGTTGAGTAAAAGATCAACATGTATAGTCAGAATATGAATGGAATCCCCTCGGGAGAATATTATATCATATTGAGAGGGCACTCAGAGAAGAATATTAATTCATAAGTGAATTAAAGTTGGAAAGTTTTAAATTCAGATCTAGAGTAAATTAATATTCAAGAAGAGGTTTTAGGTAAAGCATACAGGTTAGAACAATTCTAAAGAGTAAAACTAGTAGCAAATTTTCACTTTTTGAAGTTCACAATATTTTTGCATTTTCAGGAAGCACGATGATGGGTGACCAAGGTGTTGTCATGGACAATGGAGAACAGATGGTACGCTGGGACTCCTATGAAAACTTTAATAGTCAGGATTCAGGTAGGTGAATTTTATTTGTGGGCTGTCATGGAATTGATGTACAAATAAGTGAATCCAGTTTGTGGCTTGTCACTGACAAGAATTCATTTGTATTGGAATATTCACAAAATGAACATCTCAAAATGTGAACATTTTAGTGGTCTCGGTTTTGTATATTCCCCATATCTCAGGTTATCAAAACCTTTCATGAGATCTTTACATCTTTGAAAAGTATATTTGGGAAACATCAGTCTCCAAATCTACTTCAAACAGTATTGTTTTGCTTCTGGCAAATGTGAATTGTTGTTTTCTATTAATGGATCATTCCAAGGGGGACTTAAGAATGTAAGGTAGCACTGCCTTGGATCAAACGTTCATAGACTATCAACATTCATCAAGTCTGTAATTTAATCCACCTTCAGTCTATAAATGTGCAAGTTGACCAGTTTTATTGAAAGGAAGTTCTTGTTTGCTGCTTTGCAGTTCTTGTGTTTATTTTTGCCAGATGTACTTTATCTGCACACTAACTGGAATTCAAAAACAACATTTTTATTTGTTTGTTTCTGATCATATCTTAAATCATATTTAGGAAATTTAGATGTCATGACACATTGAGCATGGTATCATAAGTCTCCCACCTCCTCCCCCTCTATCTCAGATAATATTAATTGACAAAAGAGGCACATAAAGACTGATGTCATTTAAAGTTAGGGCAGCATGTATGTTTGTGTTTATTTGGTCCAGCTGGAGTATGTAGGTGGTGGCTAGGAAATAGCTGGCATGATCTGGTACATATTACTATTCTACTCTAAACCTCTTGCCAAAAAATAAATTAAAGTCACTGATAAATTCTGTGTACTGTACGAGTATATTCAGTATAACTGGTGAGAAATTGCATAGATTTAAATGGACCTTTGGTTTTTGGTTTTTCGAATTATCCAAAAATAGTCAGTATTTGTGTACATGTTAGCCAGTACAGGTTAGTTGGATGTGAAATTGAAAAGGGCCAGACTGGCTGGAGTTCATTAGGAACACTTCATTTTTTATGTTTCTTTTTATTTATATTTCACGCAGTCTAACTCCATGATAGTCTAATTTAGTTTTACAAATGTATTTGTGATTATAGACTCATTTTTCAAAGAATATAAGCAAAGTGAGTGACTGGACAAACTTCAATGTTAATGCCTATTTGAGCACAGAATCAATATATTTAAAAGAGTAAATTGAGGGGCAAAGCACTTTGGGTTAGGTGCAGTTCTTGTATTATGAGACATAAGAGAGAAAAGATTGGATACACCAAATATAATGCTCTGCCCCCCTCCCCCTCCCCCCACTGAGCTCTTGATTAAGGAACTGGTAGAAGGTGTGTTTATAGAATAATGGATATGGGATCATTCATAAATTCTAAACAATCACCTAATTTTCTGTTAACATGTCTGTATTTTGAGGAGATTTTTATAGAAAGTGTCCTCCCTCAGTATATTGATCATGTACAATCACATGTTCTATGTAGCCCTCTATAGAAAGAGGCTTTCCATGTTCAAGTGGGTAACACATTTAGAGCATTACCAGTCCTCGGATTACAAGTGCTCTCCTCATTTATGCATTTTCTCTGGGTTTATTGAATTTCCAAGTGCAACTTACATTAAGCCAACTACTGTTAATATGAGCCAACGGGTAGATACAAATATAAAGTATAAAATGTTACTAAATATATTCTCTGACCCCACCCCATCTAGGCTTGACCCCCTCTTGACATCGCATCTCCATCTCCTTCTACTCATGCAATAATGTGAGACCTTGTGACTAGTTACTACTGTACAAGTAGATCAGTACAACTTTTGTAAAGGGTACTCATTAAATGGAACATTTGTGTAAATTACATGTTAAGATGTAATTTATTTAATGATTGTGCCAGAGCTGTTGTTTTCTAAAAACAAGTTTAACATTTTGTTTTCCTGGACTTTGATACCACAAGAGCATTTAGTTTTTGCAGTAAGCATAATGACATTTTCCATCAGTTGTTTGTGCAAAACAAATTAATCTTTTTCACCAGTGGATTCATTAGAGGGAGATTGTACAGGAATAACCACAATTGGACCCTTTATTAGAGGTTGCAGCTGCCTTTAGCTACACTCTACAAATTAGATATCATTCTTTGATCAAGCATATATCCAATCACAATTAGGTATACATGTACTAAGAAGAGTAGAAATAGTAGAAAAGTAGCTAACTGTAATTTCCTGTTAAAAAAACCATGAAAGATATATTTGAGATTGTTAAGATTCTGTCAGCATTAGAACTGAAAAATTATGTGCAATATTACCGTTAGAGGGTAGTATTGCTCGTTCAGATGTAGCAGGGTAGCACAACTGGTTTACTGATAGTGAGTTACCTGGAATATGTAAAATATTACAAAAAATGTTTTTGACCTGAAGGAGAGAGCTGTCTGCATGATTACATATCCCACTTGAGGTCATGGTGAAATGAGGAAAATATATAAATATAATGTCAGTTTTGTTATGAGGTGAGGTCATGAATACATGCATCATAGCAGGATGTTAAAAGTAAAATCTAGGAAGTCGTGCGTGTGAAGACCTGTGGCCCCCTCCCGTTCTCTCTACCACAGGCTTATGATAATGGAGGTGGGATTGGGGGGCAGGGAGTTAATACAAAACGATATGGAAGATTTGGATACCTCCATCTAATGTTTCACTGTCTTCTCTTTTGGAACAGTTTGATTTTCAAAATTTCATACTTTGGTCATCCAAGATGCTTGGAGCCTTCAAAACAGTTCTCATCACTGTTCTGTGAATTGTAATAAGCAGAAACCATAGAAACTGCACTTGTGAAATGATTGTTTTATTAGACTGTGACTGCTGCAATTTAAAATGCATTACCATTTAAGTTCACAGTCCAGAGAACAGTCACAAGAAAAAGTGGCAAAATAAGTATCTGAGCATGGAAAGATTTCCTCAAATTGGGGCAATGTATTAGTCTGATTCAAAGCCACATTTACATCTCTTATATTATATTGATTGTTTCAGGAAACTTACAGGAATTTGTTTCAGTTCTATGACAAAGCAAAACAATGTTGAGAAATGTTTCAGGATATTATTATTACATCCTCAGGAAAGTGGCACCATACCATTACCACCATAATTTACCATAATAAATAAATCATCTATTTTTACAAAATGATAGTTGAAAATAACACGATTTGGAAATTGAGAACGCAGTGACATGATTGTTTTTTTTCTCCTATTTTGGGGATGCCAGTATAGCATATTTAAATCTTAATAGTTTTTATAACCAAGTACACTTAAGCACATACACAGAGAGTGTTATTAATTATCAGCTATATGTTTGATGAATTGATCGAGTAATTGATTTTCATTGACTGACACCTAAGAAAAGTTTATAAGCTTAATAAAGTAATTGAAAAACATTAATGACACTCCAACTAACCAAAATTGTTTGATAAGTTTGACTGGGTCCACAATGTCCCTCCCTCAATCCACCAGTGCCATGTGTGTGTTTCTGATGCTCCTCACATCTTTTTAGTTCAATATGTTGCTAAGAAGGAAGGAGATGTCATGATTACCATGGTTGATATGATAACCACATGTGTGTTCACCTCAATTTGGCCATCATGACTTGTTTAATGTATTTCATATATTCAGTGAGAACTCAGTGTGCATTTGAGCATTTCTTGACTTGATGTGAATGCTCAATTGAGCTTTGTGTGAGACTGGTGGAATTTTTGAGAACATTTCAGCCTCATTATTATAAAAAGTGTTATGTAAAATGTGTTTAACATTCTGGTTTAAGTGGTACTTGAAACCTGCTCCTGGGGTCTTTAATACCCCACTGTTCTTACATACATGTACAGACATATTTCATATCTGGTTTTTTGAAAGTCCTTTGATGTGAATTAAGTCAAGTCTGATTAACAATTTTTTCTAATTAACAATTTTTCATGTTCTGAGTTCTTTTTGACATTTCAGGAATGATCATTTTTGCCATTTCCCACCAAACTGCAATTTTTCCAACAAACTGTTATTGTTTTCACTAATATGCAATATTTCCCACCAAACTGCAATCATTCATACCAATCTGTCATTATTCTGCAATTGATGACTTTGTTAGTGTAATACATTGATTTTTGGCCCTGGGAAATTTAGTTATAGGGGGAGGCTGGGGATTTTACCATAATGAAATTAACATTATTTTTTATGTCACCACAAAGATTGGTGACATATCGTTATAGTCTCCAACTTCTTTGTGGATGGTGTTCAGTGGTTGGCATTTGGTGGTCAGCAGTTGGTGTTTGGTGTCTGTAACAAATGGCAGGTGGTGACTTTTTACATGTTAATGCCTTGCCTACAACTTTTGACATTTGGACACCATTCCATATGTTGTTCATATTTATGTTGACCATTTCACCATTCACAATAGTACATAAAGCTGTTGTCAATATTACATAGCATTTCATTACATTAGTTTTAACCATATAAAATAAAAATGAAATAATACATTAACCTGGATATACTCTTTCATTCAATGTGATAGTATGAAAAATCGCAACCATCACAACTCCATAAAAAACAAAGAGCAATAGTGTATATACTATACACTATATGTCAGTGACCTCAGGGTCTGAATATGATGTTTTATAAGTTCCTCAATTTGTAAACAATTTGATTTATTGTAGTTGCTCCAATTTACAAATGATTCATAGAACCATTTATTCCACTTGCTATTGAATTATCCAACTATCCACAGACATTTCCCAACGCTAATATTAGATATATGGTTGAAATTACACCAAGCTGGTATTTTCAGTGTTTTTGTCTCCGCTGAATAAAATAAAAGATTAAGAATGGAGATGGTTTTTACATTTGCAACTGGTTGTTTGCTTGTGGGATGTTTCTGTGTTATAAAGTGTATTTGAGAATCAGAATTTGGGCTACAGAACATTTGAAGATGTTAATTTCAGAAAAATATGTTTGATACATTCA